GCGAGTCTGGGGAATGCGAGAGTGGGAATGTGAAAGGAAGTGTCCCTCAAATTTTGTTTGAAGGCTTTTGTATTGCAGGGTCTAAATAGCAGAGACGCTGGCTGAAATGCAAATGTGCTATTGTAAGGTACTTTTTCCAGTAAACGAGATCTCATATGTTAAAGGCTACATCAGCCTGACAGCTTCAAAGCACTTGGCATGGGTTAGCGAAGAGACAATGCCTACCTGAATAATTCTTTTGGTAACATCCCTGCGACCACAGATGCACCGTAATCTGGGAAAGTACCTTATGTCCCCGTTTTAAAGATGAGGAACTGAGATTAGATTAAGAGCAGCTATTCTCAGTGTTTCAGGTGTGCTGGTCCAACATGTAGGTACCACTGATATTCAGGACAGTTCTGTTAAGCTGCCACCAGGCCCTCTAGTGTTGAGGAGGAGGATGGGGTGATTCTCCTCTCGCTTCACTCATCAAGCCCCCTGCACCTCGCTCTCCAGCTGTGTTACGGTGCCTTTTCCACCCACTGATCACAGCAGTGTTCACAAATGAAATATTACCCCTCTTGCACCTGCTGAGTCTGGCTGTGTTGCGGTGCACAGATGCCACCAATGGAGGTGCTGCCATCCTCCTTTTGAGCGCTGAGCTCCAAGTACTTTCAAGTACTTTCTCTGCTTGATTTGGCACCTTCGTCAGTTAAGGACATGGGGACATCAGATGAAAGGAGCACTTGGGTTTGGTGCACTGTTAAGGCATGGGGGAACTGCTTGGTACAGAGCGCGATGGACAGCAAATGTTTATGGCATTTCCAAATGTGATTCACCACAGAGCTGAAGGCATACATATAGTATTTCCTAGGGGCAGGAACATATGTAATGCTGCCTTGTGGTTTCTGTTTTTTAAGACCACTTCTCCTGATGCTATTAGGGAAGCTTGGGCACCTCTGTTAATTCCATCAACAAGCCAAAAACGTGTCACTACAGCATGTACGTCCCTGTAAATCTAGGCCTGAGTGACGTGCCTGGACTCTCACAGATCCAAAAATTAAATCCAGCTGTCCTCCAAGTGTACCTTCCACAGCAGGAAAGTCCCTTCTCCCTTCTCTACAAGTATGACTCCACCAGCAGCAGTGCCCCCCCACCCACCCACCCACCACTAATATTTGCTGGTTTTGAGGAGGAAAAAATGTTCAGCTTCAATCCAGTGGAGAAAAGTGGAGATCAACGAGTAAACACAGGCAGATAAGGAGGTTCGAGCATCTCCAGTTTACTCCAGTGTATCCTCAGCAGTAAGCGACAAGAGCTTCCCAGCTGTTGTAAACCATGTCAACAGGGTAGACAAATGCAATTCCATATGGCATTGTTTCTCTTAGTTTCTGCCCAGAGTAGCCTCTTCCCTTTCCTCTAGAAAGCTGACACCTGTGGTTCCAGGAATGACTTAAATGCTTGTGTCACAGGGGTAAAGTACAGGCTCATTCTTGTGGTGGGTTCATCTGACTAATGTTCGAGCCTGCCACGTAGTCTGAGCTCATTGTGCTTAAAGCCTACCAGGGGAACGATGTCCTAAAAGCACTTTGCTCTGCCAGCAGCCCATGGGAGGGCATCAGTGTAGGCATCTGTGCTGGTTTAGGTGAGAAGACTCTCGTGCTGGCTGCCTGGCCAAAGCCTCCTGCGCTGTTCCTCTCATAGACTCGTGGAATAATTTAGGTTGGAAAGTGCCTCCGGAAGTCATCTAGTCCAACCCCTGCTCGAAGCAGGGCTAACATCAAAGTTCGGCTGGGTTGCTCAGCCCCTTGTCTGAGTTTTGACTATCTTAACAACGGAGACTCTACAACCCTGTCCCGGGGTTTAATCGACTTTGCGTTTTGTTTTTGTTTCCCTTCCATCTAGTCTCAATTTCCCTTGCTGCAGCCTGTGACTGCTGCTTCCCGTCCTTTCGCTGTGCGTCTCCGAGGAGAGTCCGGGCTGAGATTAGTTTTCCCCCAGGAAAACTAATTTGCCTTCTCCCTTAACGTGCGCTGTGCACGCAGCAGCGTAGGACCACGTCGCCTTCTCCCCCCGCAGCCCCGCTGGAGGGAATCCCTCTGCCCCGGAGGGACACCCGGGGGCTCAGAGAGAGCAAGAGGAGGGCTGCAAATCCTTGGGCAGGGTGTAAGGCCGCGTTTGGGACAGGCTACGGGAGCAGGAGCTGCAACCGAGGAAGGAGAGAGCCAGAAAGCTGAGCAGGAGGCTGTACACAAAGCCAGTTCAGAGAGCTCTCTCCTCCGCCTCTCGGTGCTTTTTCCCCCCTCTTTCAGTACCCAGCGCCTACCGTACCTTGTGCAGGGTGTCCCGGAGCCCCTCCGCAACGCGAGCCGCCTGCTGCCGCTGCAGGCTGTTTCTCTCCTGGGCAGACCCGCTGCCTGGCCCTCTCCGAAGGGGAGGGACCAAACTTTGCCTTAGTTTTCACACGAGACGGGAGAGCCCTTTCCCGAGGCCTCGCAAACAAGTTTCAGGCAGCGGAGCCATCCTCAGAAAACTCGCCCCTTCCAGCTGGATCCCGCAGCTCTGTAGACGCTGGCTTGCGCCTTTGCGCGTCAGGGGTTTGTTTATACGCGATGGGAGGGCTGCCTGGCGGACGGTGCCGAGCCTGCTGAGCGTGGGAGCAGAGAGGCTGCGTTCTGCTCTTGCATCTCTGCAAAAAAATCACCTGCCGTCTCCTCTTCTGGCTGCGGGGGTACCGCAGGGCAGCTCGCAGCCTGGCTGAGTTGGGCTCAAGGTCTGTGCGCAAAAACCTCTCTTCATCCGCGTGTGCATCCGTGCCATCAGCGAGCTTGGCTTGGCTGGAAACTAACCCTAAAACGAGCAACAATAGTAAAAGATGATTTTTCGGAGAGATCAGCGGATTGCTCCAGCCGATGAAACGGCCATATGAGCTTTGAGCAAAGGGATGTGCCAGGGGCATGACAGAGGTGGGAGGGATAGTAAAATTTAGCTTGGCCAAAGTTGCTTGGGAAATTGTGCATTGGAGAGCTGGCAGGGTTGTGGGATGGAGTCGTTCGACTTGCTTCCTCTCCCCTTGAAAGTTAAGTCATATTTTTAAACTTTGAATTTTGTTGGTATTTCCTCAGAAAGCAATGAGAACGTTGCATGAAAGCATCCAAGATTTTTTTTTCTTTATTTTTGACTGCTGCTTGTTTCAGGGAAGGGCTGGATGCGTTAAAGTGTATCATTTTCAGAAGAGATTTAATGCTGATGAAAGGCCTTGGAGGGCAACTCTGAAGAACTCTGCTAACGAGGAACAGGTTCTTCAAAGTCAATGAGGAGGCAATGATGGGGATGAGAAGGTGTATGAATGGTTAAAAGAACACAGACATGCCAAAGCCAACAATACTTTTGTAACCTGCTCAGGAACAGCAAAATCCATTGTATTTTTGAAAATGGATTTATTATGGCTCTGATTCTGCACACAAATGATGTGATCTGAAGGAACTGCAAGGACATAATACGGCTAAAATAAATTTGTTTATTAATTATACTGCAACATGCAAGGTCTGGCTGAAAATGCCCAGTGCAGCTCCGACAGAAGTTTGGTGACGTTTGAACCAGAGAAATAAGTGAGGGTAACTAGGGGATCACAGACTTTTTGTAAAGAAATACAGCTACTGCACCAACACTAATCCTCTGCGTACAGGTGACAGAGATAGCCTGACATCTTCTAAAGGATGTGGGATGCACTCCTAGCAACACTGAACAAGGTGGGATGACACCTAAACTAAGCCATCTAGATTTGGGGCATGTGAATCCACTTGATGCACTGTTTAAAGCTGCTTTGCTGGGATGGTTTTCCCAGTTTGTACACAGGGCTCAATAAAAGAAATGTGTCTTTCTCTTGGAGGTGGTCTACGCAGTCCAACCACCAAGGTCAGGGTACCCATTGAAGTGGGCTGTGATTCCCTCTATCTCATTTTCCTTTTGCACAAAAGCAGAGTGGAGATGGGGGTGGATGCTTCCAGCCTGGAGCTGGGATGTGGCTAGGATGAACATCGGACCTGGGAGCTGGAAAGCCGCCCTATCCACCTCTGGCTCTCAGGGTGTAGCCCCTTGAATTGCAAACCTTCTCCTGTGTCTCCTTCTGCAAGCTCTGCCATTAGCCCTTTCCAGTGTGCTGAACCTGGAAATCACCCTCTCCCAAATCTGCTAAAGTTACACCATGAAGTAAATGTTAGCCAAGCATAAATCAGATCAAGTCCTAAAACTCTTCCAGTTTATGAAGGGGTCTGGACCAAGTGACTCGAGACCAGCTGTAGGTAAGGGAGTATAAAAGCTTAGTTCCCGTCCTTTATCCCCATTTATTTGGCCAGACCAGAGAAAACGTCTCAGTAAGTTTCCATTCTCCGGATGCTGGATAATGGGAAAGCGTTGTGATCTCTGCAAACTGGTCAAATTCCCTGCCAGCAAAGCAACTAGGAAGCATCGTCGAACACAGGTATCCTCAGGGCAATCTGCAGTCTTGCGGGGGCTCAAACTCTGCCTTGCATTTCTTGATTGGAGTCTGTTGGATGGGACTGGAAAGACTGGGCTATGGAAAAGAGCTTTTTTAAGCCCCATGGCATAGCTAGGTTATTTGCACAAAATAACATGAGACAGTATTTGCACAGAAATTTCTTTTTTTACAATGAAACGATAGCAATAATAGATCTGTAGCATCAGTGAGGGAGGAGCCAGTTTCCATGGTAGGTGGGTAACAACAGACTGAAGGCGAGTGTTTGGTCTGGGCTGGCTGTTATTTAGCAACATCCTTGAGAAGTGCAAATGGTTTTGTCCGAGTCCTTTATATAAAGGGCTGCACTTTGCTCCACTTTTCCATGTTTATAAACTAAATGTCACCATCAGTCTGTGATCACTGGTGTTAAGATCAATTACTTCAGTTTTTTTCTTCCTCCATCATTCCTTTTTTTCCTTGTTTTCCTTTTTTTTTGTGTAAGTCCTGCTTTGTCACAGCGTGTGCCTTGTTTTTAATCCAGACGCTGCGTGATGCCTGTTAAGATAAGAGGAGCTGATACCTCAGAGGACACGCACTAAACGACGTTGCACTGATAGCAGGTATTTTCTGAAACGTGCAGCATGACAGAGCTTCACGAAGCTGTAGCTTCGGGAGATTATGACCTAGTGGAGGAGATTTTGAAGAAAGGGCGCTGTGATCCGAATTACAAAGATGTCGACTGGAACGACAGGACCCCACTGCACTGGGCTGCTGCAATAGGTAAGGCCACCCCATGCTCTGTTACCTCTGCAAACCGTAGCGGTAGTGTCTTAAAAGCCAGTGCCGACTATAATTATGTCTTTCTAGGAAGGCTGTTAATGCAGGCGATAGTTGCAGTTCCTATCTGATCCTTCTGCCCTTACTGAGAAAAAAAGAAAAAAATAATCAATTTCGGTGGGAATTTTACTTGCAAAATAATTGATAGCGGTGCATTCCAAGTGTAATGCTTTGCTTTTTTTTTCTACCTCATGTGAAAATTGTAAATTTTCACCATATTCAAATGTAGTGGGTCTGCTTCTCCCTCACATTAGTTTTCTAAGAGGTGGCTCCATACAGTGCAGCCGAGTTATTTCTGTTTCTGATGTACGTTTGCATGAGTGAGTAGAAAGTCAAACCCATTGAATTTACAGCAGGTTTTTATCAAGCCAAACAGAACAAAAGCATTACAGTATGTTTTAAGTTGCCCTCCCTTTTTCTCATCTGGTCAAATGAACAGCACAGGATCAGAGCTGTTTGCAGCTGGTGTTTCGTGTTTCATCACCAGAATTACCTGTTCAAGTCAAATATCCCTTTGCAGCCCTGGGCAAAAGACATGAATGCAACAATACAGGTGTAAGCCATGGCTTAATTTTCTGACAGTGGGTTTGCAGAGCTCCACTGGGGATTCAGTCTAGCGCGTGAAATTCTCATAACCGCGCCTGTACCTGAGGAGACGAGACTCCGGCTTGACTCTGACATCCCAGCTTGAATTTGCATGTGCGTTATGGGAAAAACAAGCAAAGATGCGTAGGAATAACCAGACGGGATCAACTTAAGACCCACCTAGTCTGGTAGTCTGTCGCTGGCGAGCGTCATCCGCCACAGGAAACAAGATATGAATGCATAATGGCTAAAATGGGGAAAATCTACTCTCCTTTTTCCAGCTTGTTTCCGCCTGTCTGGAGACCAACAGTGGTTGACTTAAAGTCTGCTTAGAGATGGTTTTAAAACCTGACATGTGAGCACTACGTCCTTTGATCTATAAAGTATTTAGACACCAAGGACAGAGGTCCTCTCCACTGTGTTTATAGAATCGATCCAGCACTCACTGCACTAAAGGTGCATTTTAGTGCTCGTAATCTGTAAAAAGATTTCAACTTTCACATCTTCCAGATTTTGCCCTCAGTCCCCCTAAATTTGCCCCTACTATTTTTGTCCTTTGCAGTTGTGTCTCTGCGCCGCGTCTCGCTCTCCTCTTCCCCACTTTTATTTCCTATGTTTCTGGGAACTGTCACTGATGGGCAGAAAGGTCACCTGATTGTCTGGAGCCTTCCACGGTTTCTTTCTTAAGAGAATGACAAATTCAGAGGAGATTGGAGAGAGGTGTAAATCCTGCCCAGTTTGTAGAACAGCCATCTGTGATGGAGGAGGGCTTGAAGAAAAAATGAACATAAAGACTATGGCACTGGACTGAAGTTGGATCTTGAGCAGCTGTGGAGAAGGCCAGCAAGTTAAACAGCAAGGAGATATTCAAAGAACATGAAATCGGGGAGCCAGGATTTATAAATCTATGGTGGTATAAATCAAAAATGATAAGCAGTGAAAACCGCGGTCCCCAAGGAAACCACACAGGCACAGCAACTGATAGTTCAGAAATGATGACTATATGCTGGGATGGCATAGAGGCCATTGGGAAAGGTCTCCGTAAGTGAAGGTAGCGTGACCTGGGATAGAAATAACTGGGTTTTGCTTTTTTAAGCGATTCCACAAGTTATAAAAATTTGAAGCTGAGTGAAAACAAGTAATTTCAGTTTCACATAAAACAAGCTTTCATTATAGATGCTCACAGGTTTTACAGCTAATTTATAAATTCTATTTTATATCGGACTAAAAATTAAATGAAACAATGAAATAGTCAAGGCCTGAGTAATTGATATGTGCTGTTCAGAAAGTAGTACAAAACTTCTTGATTTTGTTGCTGTTTTTGTTGAATGGTTCAGAAAACAGTCTGCTTTGAATAATCAACATTTTCTAATGAATATATTTTATTTGATAGATAGAAGTGCCAGGTCGTGGGTATAACCTATTGCTACATGGATTTATAGGCCTGATCAAATGTTTGCAACTATCTTCTCTGTGCTGACGGTATAAAATCTAATACCGGTACATGTTTTCTCCCTATTTTTCTGCATATCGCAAGGGCAATCAGAGTTGATTAAGCTGCTTGTGGCTCACGGGGCTCGGCCTTGCTTGAGAAACGATGTGGGTTGGACCGCGGCTCACTTTGCTGCCGAGTCCGGACGACTGGGTGCGCTTCGGACCCTTCATTCCTTGCACGCGGCCATGGATGTGGCCGATCTCTTTGGCGATACTCCCAAGAGGCTTGCGGAAATCTACGGGCACAAAGACTGCTTCAAGTTCTTAGAAACGTGAGTAGCGCAAGCTGTTTCTGTGAACGCTGAAGTAGCTGAAGATGCTGCGGCAGTGAGAATTAAATTGACTGCTGTGTAGAAACACTTGGATTCTTTCCACCTACAGCCTAGCAAAGCTGTCGAGTGTGAGTAGGAGATAAATACAGGTCTTTGCCATGGGCAGTAGCACAGGGGGAGGCCAATGGGAAAACAATCATTTATTCCATTGTCTTGTATGGTTTGCCCTGATAGGTGTGCAAAAAAATAGTATCCCTTCCTGAGCTATTGAAAAGTACACCATTTCCTCTATTAATGGGCTTTGCAATGTTGTCAAAATTTAGCGCTTCCAAATTTTGGAAAACTCCTTATTGTCTTAACTTGTGTGGTGGTCACTGTTTTTTCTGCCTGGTTTTTCCTTTATTTATTTTCTATGACCATATTTCTAGCTTCTAACTTTTATCCATTACTATAAACTTTTTTTTTTCTATTTTTCATGTTTAGCTTTATTATTATGTATCTTTATTATGTATTAGGCATTCATTTTGTAACAGTATTGTCACTCCTATATATACGACGAGTAGATTGCTTTTGAAGAGTTCCCTGTTACTATTTATGGTTTCCACATTAAGTATTTTCTCCCCACTAATCTGGCGCACAGTGTTTCCATTTTTGCAAAACTGGCTTAAAATAGATCTCAGGCCTCTCTCTCTTGGCTTATATAACTTCACTTATCATAACAAGTCAATATTTATTCTGATTAGCTGGCCTTCTAGGTTTGTTATGGGACTCTACAATATACCCGTGGGACTCTGGGCAAGAAATCGCGTTCCTCTTTCC